TAACCAAGCTGTTGTGGTCAGCCATGAGGTGGTACTTCATTCCAGTTGAAGTTTTCAGTTGTTTCTCACAATGTGGACATGTAAAAGGGTTCTAGTAAAGTAAAGTAAAGTAAAGTAAAGTAAAGTAAAGTAAAGTAAAGTAAAGTAAAGTAAAGTAAAGTAAAGAAAAAGAATAAAAATAAATAAATAAATAAAAAATAACATTAAATAAAGATAAAATAAAATAAAAAATAATGTTAAATAAAATTAGATAAAAATAAATTAAATTAATAAAATGGAAATAACATTAAATAAAATTAAATAAAACATACGTAAAACAAAAATAAAATAAAGTAAATAAAAAATCATTTTAAAAATGACATTAAATAAAATAACAAAATAAAACAAAGTAAGATTTGCTTTATATCAGTCTTATCTATCTTTCATAAGCATTGCTGCAATGTAAGCACATACCAGTTTGCATGTTTCCAGGTGTTTCTTTAACCCATCCACTGTCTTTCTTCCAACACTTTTGCATTTTGGGCAGGTTACTCTACCCTTTGCCAAAATCTGCAGCTGCCATTTCTCCTCCTGACTTCCTGTAAAGAAAGAAATTTGAACTCTATATTATGAGTATGTACTCTTTTCATTAAAACAGCAGCACAACTCAGTTTTTACCTGGTGGATAAACATGGGTCTCTTTCTTGTTGTGCTGAGCTGATTTCTGCTCCTCAGTCCTTTGAGTCTTCTGCGAGAACTGAGCAACAGGAACTATAACAGGTACTGTTCAAGAGAAATATAAGTCATATACACTTTTTAGATTTCATCATGTGTAGATTAATGGAGAAACACAAAGAACTGCATGCATACCTGTTTGCTTTACTTGCTCGATGTACTTTTTCAAGGAGGAACAGTCGGTTTCCTCCATCTTCTGCTTCTTTTTCATTCTAAAATCTGTGACATAAAAAAAACTTGTGCAACTTTTGGACATTATGTAAAATGTCAAGCTGCATCCTGTAGAAACACTATTTTCTCTAAAAACAACAGACCCCTACTCACTCTAGCACCTAATTCTCTGAGCACAAACAGTTCCTTTGTATAGTTAGCACTTCTTGTGTGTATTGCCTCTACTTACTGAATCACTGAATGCCTCCTCATTTGTAAGTCGCTTTGGATAAAAGCATCTGTCAAATGCCTAATTGTAAATGTAGATCCATTAAGTCTGTACTTACCTCTTTCAGTAAATGTGTCTGAACTGGATCCATCACTTTTTCCTATTATTCCCTCTGTGTGGAATATTTGCATATTTTGGCTCTCCAAGCCATTGGCCAGGCTGGAAGTGGTAACAGAACTGCAGGACAACCCATGGTCTGAATCCTCTGTAGGTCTCATAATCACAGGCTGGAGATCATGATACCTTAGGACACATGATGTGCGACACTATTAGTAATCTATCATCTGATGAAAAATATGTTAATACTGACTGTGGATATTTAATATTCTTTGATAAGACTACAAAAGTATTTGATCCTGCAGCACCTGAAAAAGATACACCATTATTTGTTATATTTCATAAATATATTCTATATTGCGTGTTATAGTTTTCAACCACTAGACCTAAATACCTCAGAACAGGAATCTATTTACTGAAATCACATCTAGATAATAAAAAAAAGTTTATGACCCAAAAAAATCTTGAGTTTTCCACCAAACTCTATAAAACAGGAAGACTGAGAAAGACAGACTTTTCCTGTCAGTGTTGCGAGGGTCGTGGTTTTTCCGCACAATTATTATAATTTTTTTAAATGCAGTTGCAGGAAAAAAAATAAGTTGTGCATTGAGGTTTTTTTTGACTACTTCCATAATATGCCAGAGTCACTAAGATGTTTTTTTCTCAATAATACAAAATGAAAACTGAATCTTTTCTTAACTACGATTCAGTGGTTACCACTGTCGCCTCAACTGTCGCCTCACAGCAAGAAGGTTGCTGGTTTGAGTCCCAGCTGGGTCTGTTGCCATTTCTGTGTCGAGTTTGCATGTTTTACCCATGTTCGCCTGGGTGTCCATCGGGTGCTTCAGTTTCCCCTACAGTTCAAAGACTTGGTATTGGTGAATTGAATAAGCTAAATTGGCCATAGTGTATGCGTGTGAATGAGAGTGTATTGATATTTCCCAGTGATGGGTTGCAGCTGGAGGCGCATCCGTTGCGTAAAACATATGCTGGATAAGTTGGCAGTTCATTCCACTGTGGCAACCCCTGATAAATAAAGCGATAAAGCTGAAGGAAAATTAGTGAATGAATGAATTAACTCAAATTCAAATAAACATAGGTTATGTTCCTTAATGTGAAAATCTGAAAATTTGAAATAATTTAAGTGGACGAGAGAGCTTAACCCACTGCAACTTAAGAAAACACATGCAAATAGAAAAAACACCAGCTAATTAGAAAAAACATTGTCATTGCCAAAAGCCTAGTGGATAGTGCATTGATACATGACACTGAGGTGCTCACGGTGACCTGAGTTTGATTCCTGTCTCGAGGTCCTTTGCTTTTCCATGCCCTCACTTTCCTGTTTCTAATCGGCACTGACTTGTCCATTAAATGTGAAAAAGTTTGACAACACACGTTGCAAATCCTCACAATGCAAACACAAATAGAAAAGAAAATTTAGTTGCCAACATATAATTTCCTATTAAAATCATTCAAAGTAAACATATCTTGTTTTCAGATTAAAATGTGCATGTGCTGTGAGGATTTGCAGAGCATTTTTCTATTTGTGTTTGCATTGTGATGATTTGCAGTGCATGTGCTGTCAAACTTTGAAGCTGTATGATGAATTTGCCAGTCTTTTTTTTATTATTCTTTGCATGTATTTTCTTAAATTGCAGCATGTTAAGCTCTCTCTGCTATTGTAAAATTGCCCTCTGACTGAACAAACATTGCATGAACACACAAAACTCACCTTTTTCGGGGGTATGTTTTCTTTGTTTTTTGAGAGCTTGTTCCCATATTCTGAAATGCAATAACACAAATGCCAAAAAAACAAATAAGTGCTAATGACTTAATGATTAATTGTTTTAATTACCTAAATATATACAGTAAACGTATATTTGGATACATAAATCAACTTACTTTGGAGGGTCTCGTTCCACTTTCTTTAGCCTCTCTTCTTAAATCCTTTACCACATCTGTTGAAGAGGAAGCTGACTCTGTTGAAGGAATTTATAATAGATTTAAACCAATATAAATATAATATTGTAATATATAATAATATTGTTTCAGCTTGAAACAATTTTTCTGTAATAAAAAATGTATTTTATTCCTGTCATATTAAAGCTTAAATTTAAAGTATCATTTTCAAGAATGGTATTTATTTTAATAAAAAAATTAATTGATATATTTGAGTATCAGTTTCCACAAATCTAATAAGCAGCAAATGTTTAATATTGACTATAATAAGCAATGTTTCTAGACCATCAGCATATTAGAATGATTAGTTAGGATGATTTATTTATTATATATTTATTGCCACATCAGCAACTTACATCTCATGACATGATAAAAACAAATTTGTGTTACTATAAAAAGTTACTTAAACAATTATATAGGTAAAAAAAAAATCACACTAAAATATATTCAAAGTTAAATAGTTAAGATTTTTAAGTTCAATTTTTGCAAAAAAAAGAGTAAGATTCTTCCTGGTGGTACCTTATTAAAATGTCCATCATAGTACTCCCCTTATTAAAGTTTTGTCTAATGGTATTCAAACTTCCACATTTCAACAAAATATGTTTCACGGTAAGAGCAGCCTTGCAGTAATTACATTTAGGGGGTGCTTCGTTATTCAACAAATACAAATGAGTCAACCTAGAATGTCCAATTCGACATCTAGTATAGACAGTTTGATCATGTCTGGTCTCAAAATTATAATTTGTAAGCGTCTTTCATTTATTTTCGGGTTAATTTCATGTAATTTATTATTTATGCAGTTGTCCCATTCTCTCTGCAATGTTTTGTTTATATACAGAATAATTGTAGGTTTCAAGTCCTCAGGAGGAATTAAACATTCTGTCACTTTCAAGGAGATAGCCTGTTTATTAATAAGGATGATATTATTGTTTTAAAAGAACTTATTGTCAAATAAACTGAGGAAAAGAGAGGAAAACTGTGCTTTATTGTCTTGTTTACATTTCAAAATTAATAGATCATAATTATACAACAACCCTATGATATATATTAATCAAAACAGATTTCATGATCATATAATGATGATTATGGGAATACAAACACTTTAGAAAAAGCCATATAGTGTTTACAAAGTGTGTAATATTATAAATCGTGTATTACTGAAGGATTACCTGTTGTTTCGGGGTTTAGTTTTGGTCTAGCCATTTTCCTCTTGCTGGGTTCACATTTGCCAGACATTTCTCTGGGTCTGATCAATGATCCTATTCAACACAAATCAGTATAAATCATTCATAGATGTGAACATTTATTATTTAAAAAAGCACATAATTAGCAGTCACATAGAGGTTAGCTCATATGAGGAATTTCATTATGTCATTAATCAAATGAGCCCAAAACAAAGCAAATAGAAACCGGTAGCATTTAGCATCTTAAAAAACATATAAAAACCCTGCATTTACACACAGAAGCTGCCTGCACCTTTATTGCAGTGCATAACTGTAGTCTTCAAGACCACCATCACAGCCCACCAATGTATTTCCAGCCAAAAAAGCACGCATGGCGGCACTACGTCAAACAATCCCTACACGGTTGCATTTGACCGTCTAACAATTCCTATGACAATATTTACGATCAACTTTCATTCTGAAGAACATATCAAACAGCCTACCGCTCACAAAACAAGAGTAGCTTCAACATTACCGTCCGTTCGGAGAGATCACTTCATACAGAACACGCCTCGTGTTCGCAACAGCCAATGAGAACGCGTCCTGTTCACAAACACAACGAATATAGCCTATCACTGGCGACTACAGCTCCCAGGTCAGATTTTAACACACTCGTTTTGCTACTTCGTGCTGCTGTTGATAATAAATGACTGAACTGGAGTCAGTCTGTATACAGAGTTAAAGTACTTACGTTTTGACAACATTAACTTTCGCTTTCAGTACAGCAGAAATGAACAACGCAGGATCTTCTACGTGGCTGCCCCCCGCATTTGCATGGATAAACCCCAAAACATGGGGGTCAAACAAAGAAAAGGTAGGCTACGATAAACAAATATTTAGTATGCCAACGTAAACTAGTTATCCAAAATTAGTGTGTTTCTCCAAAGATTATGTGCCAAAAAGGAAGTTTTTATTAATGGTGTCTAATTATTTAACTAAAATCTTTATTTCTAATTCAAGAATGCCAGAGCTGTCCGAGAAGAAATCAATTTAATTTCGGGATCTTCTGTCCTGGATGGTGAAAATGATTATATTTACTAGCCTACATCTAAAAATGTGTGTACCCGTGTGCTCCCGCAGCGTGACGTGCTGTATGTTTTCTATTTCTAGAAGCTGGCATCGATGACGCTCAAGTCCTGACTTTGACCAGAGAAGATCTGAATGAGCTTTTTCCAGGTATCAAGAACTTTCAGCTCAGAAGGACGATTATGGCAATAATCACAGAATCAGTGAAGGTATGTCTTGACTTCAGCCATGCACGCCGGTAAAACTGAAAGTCAGAATTATTATGGCTGAAAATGTGGCAACTGCAAATTATTAGATAATGAGTTTTTAGTGGCATTCATTCATTTTCCTTTGGCTTAGTCTCTTTATTCATCAGGGGCCGCCACAGCAGACTGAACCACCAACTTGTTTTACACAGCAGATGCCCTTCCAGCTACCCAGTACTGAGAAACATTCATATACACTCATTCACAGACTTACACTACCGCCAATTTATTTATTTCACCCATAGCACGTGTCTTTAGACTGTAGGGGAAACCGGAGCACCCGAAAGAAACCTACGCCAACATGGGAAGAACATGCAAACTCCACACAAAAATGCCAACTAAACCAGCAGGGACTCGAACCATGTGACTTTCTTGCTATGAGGCAACAGTGCTAACCATATATAGTGGCATATGGAAATACATCATTTTTAGACTTCTCAGAATCAACTTTAAGATCAAAATATTGGAGAAATATTCTCCCATCATCATTCAATCTAATATATATTTATGGAAAAATTATTTTTTTACTTTGATCTGTGTGTGTTTAAATATCTAAAATATAAAAAAGCGATTTTATGCGAAAAAAATAAATTACTTTTTAAATGAGCAAAGTATAGAGGATTTATTATGACAAAGTGTAAAGATCCAAAATGGCAATTCATTAGTATTTTGGAGATGCATTGTAGTCATTAAACAGAGACTTTTATTATGCCATCAAATTATATCTAAATGTGCCTGACAACAATTATAGCATATAATTTACCGTTATGCCGAATGAGTTGGTCTTCTGTAAATCATAAACTAAAAAAACTAGAGCTGCATGATATTGGAAAATAAATGACTGTTTGTGACTATTTTTGAAATATTTATTGCGATGTGAATACAGTTTCACCAGATGACGGAAATAGCTATAATATATGGAAGGATTCATCATTTTACACTTACTGAAATGATTTGTAGGGCAGTGTATCTACATGACTAAATCTAAAGTATAGATAACTACAACAGCAAAAATAGAAATGAAATAAACAGCGCTTTGTTTATTTTTCCCTTTGGAAGTGTAACAGTATTCGGGTACAGAAATGTAATAATCAAATTTAAAATGACACTATTTAGTCTTTACCAAATAAATAAACACAATTAATCTTTGTTAAAGCTTCAAATGTTATCTTTTTCTGTGCACAAATGCCTGAATTTGCATGCAAAGTCACAAAACATATACAAATGCTAAACTTTCACTCTATTATAGTTAAACTGCAATAATTCCACAAATCACACCCTCCAAAATGTGGTGTCCGCTTAACTATAATTTCACCTCATGCAAAAATTGCAATGTCAATGCTAAAACAACATATTGTGCAGCCCTAGTAAAAGCATAAGATACGGATTTAAATTTTTTTTAGCATTGATGTGTCATTTTTGATTATTTGAAGGATTCTTCTGGACCACAAACATTTGATGCAGCACTGAAGCAATTAATGGCTCACAACAGCAGTAAGTAACTTATAGGCTTACACAGAATCTGCATCATCACTGAGTCTAGTTATTTACTGGTGTAAATGTGTAATAATATATTTACTCAGTTTTTATATTAATATTATTGCAATATTATTGACTAATATGCAACAGTTTATATGATTTATTTACAATACAGACACAGTACTGTCTTTTAGTAGATTTTTTTATATGAAAGACCTGCTTTGTTTACCAAACAAGTGGATCTAATTGGATTTGCTTTGTAAATCTTAAATACGTCAAAAAATTAAAAAATTTTTATTTCGTGTTTTAAGTTTTTAGTTACTATACTCCAAAAATAATTCTGCGTATTTATTTATTTTACAAAATTCTGCACAGATTCTTTCTGTCTGACCAGTTAAGACCTAAAAACAACCATTTTTCGCTGTAGAGTGACAATCTTTGTAAAAGAGGTGTTAAAAATGACCCATCTCAAACTTTTCTTCAGATGATCCTGCTGTACATGAAGTTGTGAAGGAGTCACTTCGAGCTTTTCGAGAGGTGGACCAGCAGCTCAAATCAGCACAGGCATCTCTGAAACCATACATTGACATCTTGAGCAGTTTGAGTGAAGCACCTTCTAGAAAAGAGGACTGGGAAACTGAGAGAACATCAAGCAGGAAGAAGCTTCCAAGCCCTTCACACACCAGTTCAAGATCTTCAATCAAAAAGAAGACTTATGGTACTGTACATGATAGTAAAAATTGTGAAAAGCACAATATCTTTCATTTAAGCACTCAAAACCACTCTTTATCATTGTGTTTTAATCACGATTGATCAGCAGCTCAAAAGCTAAAATAAAAAATGTTAATGGTTAAGAAAAGACTTTGTATTTAAACATTAGTCTGTATACCCCAATAATGCATTTTCTGTTACCAATAAATATGGGAATCTTGAAAATCTGGATGTTAATATCAAAAGTTTGGGCCTTGCTTTCCATACATACCTTATTAACACAATTTCTTTTATTGCAGAGCCTTCAGTCAAAGTGCATCTCCTTTTGTGTGGTCGAACTTTAGGAGCTCACACGCAAGTCCTTGCAGGGCTCCCTGGAGTTCAAGCGAGTGAATTAATGGACTGTCAGTTGATTCTGGCCTTTTGTCCTGTGGTATCACGGGTGGGAACAGACATTGAAGAGGCACTGAAGAAAATTCCAGGTAACTTTTTTTAGAATAGTCAATGGCTGACTGCTTTATACTGTCTCTAGAAATGAAGCACACATCTGGCAGTTCAGATTAACCACCTCCACCAAAAATGAATTTATCTCTTTCAGATTTTACTTTTGTTCTTGCAACTCGCATTTAAAACTCTATGATCAATTAGTATATAGAATTGAAGGCAAAATGATTAGCCCTTCATGTGAAATTGGAATTAGTTTTCAAATATTCTCATGTGACGTTTATCTAAGACAGTGGTTTTCAAAGTTTTTTCATCAGGTACCACCTCAGAAAAAAATTGTCTCTCCAAGTACCACCAAAATGAGCAGTATTAAAATACAGTAGCATAGTAGGCCCAGTAAAGCAGCTACAACTCTGCAAAGTAAAAAAAATAAATAAAAATAAAACGTGGCAGATTACCTCAGAAAAATAGGCTATATGGCATATTATATACATAATTTTTGATAAAGTTTGAAATGTGTGTAGCATGTAAGAACATATTTCATTCCTCCGCGTACCACTAGTGGTACACGTACCACAGTTTGAGAACCACTGATCTAAGAGATTGTTTTGACAGTTTTAAACAGTGGCTTTAATACCTAAATGTTTTTATTTTATCCTCACCATGATGATAGAACATAATATTTTAATCATTATTTTTCAAGATACTAGTATTCAGCTTAAAGTGCTAATTAAAAGCTTAACTAGGATGGGTTTTTAGATCACAATTCAAGACTTTTCTTTCAAAACTGCCACTTTAGATCAAATAAGTTTCACAATATCCTACACCTTTTTTGAGAATGTTGATTAAATCAATTTTTTTTGACCCATCACTAAATATAAGGTAATTGTGACACTTCTCACAATCCGCTTGTTAGGTGTGACGTCATGCAAAGTGGTTTCCGGGTCCAAGCGCTATATCAAACTGTATAGAAAGACTCAACAAATGGTAATAATAAATGTTTATAAAGCGATGTATTACTTTTAAAAATCATGATCGCAATATATATACAGTGCTCAGCATATACAAGTACACCCCTTACAAATCTTATCTTTTAAATTCATATTTTAATAGGAAGCTATACAATATTATATTTGTTCATATACATTAGATTAGTCAGTGCTGAAGTCAAATCTGGAGCTTATCTGACAAAATAACTTACAAAAAATAAAACTAGTACATTTAAATTTATATATTATAGAAAAATATTAAATACAAAATTTAAAAAGGGAAAAAAATCAAGAGGAAAAAAACAAAGTAAAAATTTTGTTAATTTTTGCAACATTAATTTTTTTGCAACATTGCAACTTAATTTTAATTGTATTCTCTTTCAATTTATAAATATGTTTGATGACTAAATATTATTTTAATAAATAGATCTGTTTAATAAATCCGTTTTTTAAATGCACCAAAATACATTGCCTATATTCACTGAGAAATAGAGAAGAATATTCATTTTCAAAATAGAGTGTACTCAATTATGCTGAGCACTGTATACTGTATCCATGCCTAATATCAGATAGTCAGAAAATGGTTGATTTAAAAACTATTTTTTTACAATATTGGTGTCTAGGGCTGCTGGATGTTGGGGAAAAATCATAAATCACAATATTTTGGTCATAACTGTAATCACGATTATTCAAAGCGATTATCAATTGAAGTCAAACTTATTCGCTCTCCTGTGATTTATTTATTTTCTATATATATTTCCTAAATGATGTTTAACAGATGAATTTTTCATAGTATTTCCTATAATATTTTTTCTTCTGGAAAAAGGCTTATTTGTTTTATTTCTGCTAGAATAAAAGCAGGTTTAAGTATTTTGAAATCTATTTTAATAGGTCAATATTATTAGTCCCCTTAAGCAATATATATTTTTGATTGTCTGCAGAAAAAACTAATGTTAAACAATGACTTCCCTTATTACACTAATTAAGCCTCTGAATGTTACTTTAAGCTGAATACTAGTATCTTGAAAAATATCTAGTTAAATATAATGTACTGTCATCATAGCAATGATAAAAGAAATCAGTTATTAGAAATGAGTTATTAAATCTGTTGTGTTTAAAAATGGGTTGAAAATAAATTTCCAATAAACAGAAATTGGGGGAAAAGGGTCACTAATAATTCAGAAGGGCTAATAATTTTGACTTCAACTGTTTATATATATGCAGTTATTTTCCTCCCTGTAAATAATGAAAGTGAAATAAATACAATAGAATAAGAATATGAAACAAATTGTGCTTTAAGCATCTTCACTGTAAGAAAAACACTTCAGCTACAAAAGTCCTTCAGTCAAGAGCAGTGAGTGATTTTGTCCTTTTGTTGTTTGATTAATAATAAAAACAGGTGGCAGCAGGAGTATTGCGCACTTTCACTTTAAGAGCAGTGTAGTTCAGATATGGTTTTTCTTTCGCATGTCTTTTGATTCACAACTTGTGTTTATTACACAAATGAGGGTTAATAAGTAATCACTAAACACCACTCTCTGACATGAATGTGCATTAATTTGACCATTAAAGCACTCACATTAAGATGACGTTAGATGTGTGTGCTTTGCTCATCTCTGAGGCTAAGCGTGCACACACACAGCAGTATGTGCTCTTTTGCGCTTTTAAAAACATGAATGATGCGCATCCCGTGCTGTAAACGTTACATTACAGTTCATGCTTTTAGTCATTTTCACATGGAACTGAGCTTTGCAGAGCAACAAATGTGTACAACTGGAAAGGGGTGGTGTATGATGCAATAATAGTTTCATCTTGATTAATGTTTTTTCATAATCGTTAGAAGCCAAAATCGAGACCGGATTTTCGATTAATTGCACAGCCCTATTGGTGTCTGTGATGCAGCAAGTCCAGAGACTGACTGTCATGTACACCATGATTTTATATCAAATATGGTCATAAACAAATATTTTTTCAATTCAAATGAGTAGCGGGTGTAAACAGTATTTCATGTCACAACTTAACAAGAAGATTCATTTTCTCTGAATTTTAAGTTCCTCTCAGTTCAGAGATTTATTGTTTTTTTCACAAGGGAATTGTAAGTTAATTTGTACTCTCAAAATTCAGATTCCCCTTTTCTCAGAAATGCAGGGCTAGATTTCACAAGTTATAATAAAACTCTAATTGCTTGTCTTCACAGTTGATAAGCCAGCAGTCCTGGTGATGATGTACCACACCTTCAACCCCAACCACATCTGTCAAAACTTGCATATGTCAACTTCTCAAGCAAACATTATGGAATATGTGAACGTGCTCTTCCATGACTCACACAATGGTATTCTGAACTGCCCAGCAAATGATCAAGCAATGACCAAACTTCAGATGATCCTAAACCAATACATGTCCTAAAAAAGGGGCGTCAATGTATATTTGTCATCGTATATATGTAAAAACGAAGCTTACTAATAAACATTTAGGACTGTTGTGTCGATTTAAAAAAAATTTAATCATTTTTTTCAGACAATTTTAATCACAATTTTTTTTAGTAAGAACGCCATTAGCAGGAAGATTAGAAAAAAGCCTTTAACACCATCGCTCTGATACCAAGCCATGATGCTTTTTTCTAGTTCTCACCTCCTCATAGGCACATTTAAATTCATAGACATCTCACACACATCAGAGAAGTGATTCCTCATCATATTTAACATCCTGGGCTTTTAAAAAATGCATCATGACAAAGTTGTTGTGTTTTTTTACCGGCTAAAACAAGCAAGCTTGTGTAACCAATCTACAGTAGATAACATATGCGACCATTTTCCGATCTCATCTCTCAGGAGCTTCCCTTTATCATACTTTGGCCAAGATTGTGCGCAAAATTCACAAACCAGAAAGAGAAAAATAATGCTTATTTCCCTTAGAGTTAATACACTGATTTCAATGAGTCAATCCTCACAAACTAAAGTCCGAGATCCCGGAAACAAAAATAACTGTTGGCTTGGACATGAAATGTTCAACAGCCAATCAATCAACCATGCCTGACGAATAACCAACTTACCTGGATTTCCGTAGGCACAATAAAACATCAGTCAGAATAGCCATCTTTGAATGACACGACTATAGATATTATTTCCCCATTAACACACTCAAAAGGAGAAAAAGAAAAAAAAGCGAAAGCTAAAAAGCGAACACGTATGATGGTACGGTTGAGTCGGTCAAGACAAAAGTGCCGTTCGTTTTACATTCGAGTGATTGGCCAGACGATTTTGTGCTTATCAGAGTCTCTTTTTAGACAGACAAGCCCCTGTCAGTCACTGGCTTGGTCCTTTCTTGCGGCCGCTCCAGTAATTGCTGTAGGCCGCTTCGAACATGTCTTTGCAGCTTATCTTGGCATTGAGACGTGAGCAGATGAGGAAGGAGCCGCCCATTTTGCGGTGCAGGGAGTAGGTTTCTTCAGGCGGAGGGATGAGCCGCTGTTTTAACATGACGGGGATGAGGTTGTGGATGCGCTCTGTGGTGCTCTGAGCTCCGAAGTCGAACGGCTCCTCTGAAGCGAACGCCTCACCCAGGATCATCACCGCATCCACGTGTGCGTTCACCATGGCCTCAAAGAGAAGAAAACACTGTGTTAAAGTGATTGTTCATGCACAATTTAGTTTACTCAACCTCAGGTCATCCAGGAATTAAAGCAGTGTTTCTCAACCAACATCCTGGAGGACCACCAGCTCAGCACATTTCTCATGTCTCCTTAATCAAACACACCTGATTCAGATCATCAGCAGAGACTGAAAGACCTGTGATGTCACCGATAAAGGAGGCATCCTAAACATGCAGTGTTGGTGGTCTTCCAGGAATCTGGTTGAGAAATACTGTATTAAAAGATAATTTTTTAACATTTATTAAAGATTAAAATTCGGTTATTAGAAGGATAGTTTACCCAAAACTGAATATTCCGTCATCATTTACTCACCCTTTACCTGTGTGAGGTTTTTCTATTGAACACTAAAGAATATATTATAAAGAATGCTGCAAACCTGTAACCATTGATTTCCAAAGCATTTGTTTTCCCTACAATGCAAGTCAATGGTTACCTAATTTCAGTTTCTTTAAAATATATTCTTTAGTTTACTCTTGCATACAATGTATAAATGTTTGTAACCTCTAGAGGCAGATTAAATAGCAAGAACATTTTCATTATTGAGTGAACTATCCCTTTAATTACTGACCCTCATGTCACTCCAAAGATCTCCAGAAACCTTTATTTGTGAACAGAACTCAAATTAAAAATGATAGTTTGCCACAAAATGCATAATGTACACTTGATAGTTCACCCTCAAGTGTTTCCAAACCTTTGAGTTTCTTTATTCTGTTGGAAGACATTAAGGAAGATATTTTGAAGAACGCTGGAAACCTGTAACCACTGACTTCCATAGTAGGGAATACAAACAGTATGGAAATCAATGGTTACAAACAGTGCTTAATTTGTGAATTGAGAGGTCCTGGATCAAAGTAACATCCGGCATGTTTCCCAAGGATGGAGAGGTGTCGCACACAAAAGTGGAGAGCGGTTAGGGGGTGGGTTGGATGGCGGAGGGGTGTCGCGGCTAAAAGTGAAGAGGATTGGGGAGTCGCGGAAGAAATTGAAAATGAACAGCGGAGAGGAAGAGGAGTGCGATTAAGGAGAGAGATCGGTAAAATCTGGTGCCGGATCAGACTTGTCAGATCAGACGCCGGATCTGGCGTGTTCCAGCACAAATTAAGCCCTGGTTACAGATTTAATTTCAGGCTTTTTTCATTCATTCATTTTCTTTTTGGCTTAGTCCCTTTATTAATCTGGGGTCGCCACAGCGGAATGAACCGCCAACTTATCCAGCACGGTTTTACAAAGCAGATGCCCTTCCAGCCGCAACCCATCTTTGGTAAACATCCACACACACACTACCCAATTCACCTGTACCGCATGTCTTTGGACTGTGGGGGAAACCGGAGCACCTGGAGAAAACCCACACGAATGCAGGGAGAACATGCAAACTCCACACAGAAACGCCAACTGACCCAGTCATGTCTTGAACCAGCAACCTTCTTGCTGTGAGGTGACAGCACTACCTACTGCGCCACTGTGTCACCAGGCTTTTTTCAAAATATGTATATTTTTTCTGTTTCATATAAGAAAAAAAAAAACTCAAACAGGTTTGGAACAAGTAAAGGGCGAGTAATTATTGACTATTTTCCTTTCTTAGTGAATAATTCATTTAAGATATTTTAGAAGATATCTGAGAGCTTCCTCATCCTCAATAGACAACAATGGTTCGTTCAGTGTCCAGGAAAACAAAAAAACAAAGAAACAAAAAATCCTCAAAACAGTCAACATGTCTTTAGTAGTTCAATCTAAATATTATAAAGCTGCAAGAATACTTGTGCACATAAAGCAACCTTATTTACAGTTTCTTCTCCTCAGTGTCAGTATAGGGTGCATGTTCATGAGAGCGCTGTACTGTTTGTGTGTGTCATACTTGGGTGTGCTGCATGACATATAACTCGTATGCTTAGTTTGAAACAGAGAAAGTAGAACATGTGCATCTGGGAAGAGTTGCACCAGCTTTTCATAAGTTCTTTCTTCAACTATAACTTAAAGTCCACACTAGGGGCTTAATAACTTCTCGCTAGTTTGTAACTAAATTTGTTCTTACTTTGGTTGCACCACATGTTCTTAAGGCAAACCGTAGTTGGTAGGATGTAAGCTCTCCGTAAAGTCATGCGTAGTGTCATTGAGTGACGTAATGTCCAATAAAAAGCATTACAATTGTCAAACTGCTTTGGAATGTGTTTATATATAACGGTCCTATGAAAATTAAATAATAAAATATATTTTTTATTTTACATTAGAGTCAGTCACTAATAACAGACACGCATGTCTGCATTGTGAGCCGTGAATGCACGCAAAATATCAACGCAATCTCACGTCAATTAAGTATGATTTGCTCATCACCCAATGACGGTTGGATTTAGGGGTGGGGTTGGGTGCCACGCCTCCTTTCTAAAATCTTACAACTAAAATTTGTACAAATTAGCCACTAAACTTACAAAACTAAAATCCTTGCGTTTTCTCGTGAAAAACACATGAAGATATCAAAACATTAAACTTGATTTTTTTTCTATATCCTACACGTCAAAGAGAAAAGAGCAGGGAGAAGAACTCAGTCATGAAGAAATTCTCGTTTTAATTAATTGAGAATTAACATAAAAAACACTCTACACTTTTCACAAACTGAAAAAAAGCAAGATTTGGAAGGAAATAAGGCCGTAAATAGAGGTAGATCATTCTTCATTATGACCACGAGCTCCTCAATGTAAATTTGTCTCACTGTCATCTCTTTTTTACCGTTATACGTGGGGGAAGGCTGCCGTAAATATTTATTTGAAACGTAGCGTTACGTTTAAACCAAGTTCAGTGGTGCAACACAAAAATATTTACTAGTGCGTAAAGTCACAACTAGGCTACGTTTGAACTCCTGGGGTATACACAAATGCACAGTGCTTGTGAACGTGCACCCTTTACTGACAACAAGAAACAAACAACTGATGAATAAAGTTACTATTTTAGTTTTATGTGCACAAAGTTAATCTTGTAGCTTCATAATTTTCTGTTTAAATCAATGAAGAGTAGACACATGTACTGTTTTGATTTTATTTTTGGGCAACCCTTCTGGATTTCTAAATCGGAAAGCTTGCAGTCTATGGAGGCTGATTTCTATGGAGATTTCATAAAATAAAAAAAATCTTATTTTGTATTTTGAAAATGAATAAAGGTCTTGTGGGACTGGAATGAATAGAGGGTCTGTAATTACTGACAGAATTTTCATTTTTTGGTGAACTATCCCTTTAAAGCTGCAGTCCATAAACTTTTTAGATGAAATATTAACCAAAAATTAGTTTTAAAGCAAGTACATAATCAGCCATTGTTCAGAATTATCATAAGTATCCTACCCGAATGTTAATCTTGTAATAAGAATTTCTAATTTGAGCCAGTAAGGAATTACAAGTTACTCAAAAATATTTTTGGAAATGTCAGCAGTCACTCAGACTCAAGCTAAGGAAACAGTTCAGATTTCGAAGAACTGTTGAGCCTGTGAAAATCAAATATATAAACTAAGCAATTTTATTGAGTGGGTGATATTAATTTATTAATGGTTTCTCATGGTTTATGTAAAAATGGAAAGTTGATTATTTATTCAATTTACAAGATTTAGTCTTGCAAAACAATGCATTTTACAATTAATTAGTGTTTTAATAACAATTTCATAAGCATCATTTCACTGTATGATTATATAAACTTCCGTATCAGTTATCTGAACCAGATACAAATCGTCCTAAGAACCTGTTTGTAGATTCAGATTTTGTTGTTCACTAAGGCTGTAGATTAAAGCTAATAAAGATATGAATAATGTAAAGTCCAATTTTTAGACCAGACCAATCCCTGTGCTTTAA